GGGGACGGGGGGGGGGGGGGGGGGGGCTTCTCCCTTGCATTTCCTGGGAAAGGGGAGGGGGTGACCTTGCAAAAATCACGCAAGAATGAACCAATCTTTTGCAAGGAAGGAGGCGCATAAGGGGCTCAGGGCTGCGTCCTCACGACCCGGCTAAAATAGGGGATTGGGTCCTCTGCAGGCAAGCGGCATCTGTCGGGTGTGTGTGTGTGTGTGTGTGTGTGAAGCAAGGTCTATTCAGCTTTGATGTAGTTCCTTTGGTTTTCTGTGAACCCAGAGACGGATTTGTTAACCCATGTTGTGGCTTTAGTGGGTGCTGAGAGAGAGAGCATAGTTCTGCAGCCTTGAATAGAAGGACATAATAATAGTAGTAATCATTTATTAAACTGTATTAAACGTCTGTGCCAGCCAACCCCCAGCAACTCCCAGTTGTTGTGTTGGATGTTCATAAAAAATAGATCCAGAATTCCCCTACCTGTATTTCTTCAGCCTTGATGGGACTCAATCCTGAAGTCCTGCCTTTTCTCACCAGATGCACATATCTGCCTGATAAGAAGCCTGCTCCCTCTTCCCTAACCTGGCCCAGCTTTAGAAAGATTTCTCTTATAATAGTTGATTAAACTCATTTCCTGCAGACCTCCATAAATTTTCTTTTTTCCCCCTACCTCAGATAACGTAAACTGGAAGCACCTTGTAGCTTTTTACCTCAAAGAGGGCTGAATGGCCCTGAAAAACTTGTCCAGGGCCTCTTGGTGCAGTTCAGGGCCTGGGAATGAAAAGACATTTGGAGGTCCGGAAGACTCCTCGGCCCTGTTTGGAGTTGCGTTGCAGGACCGAGAAAGAATGGAGACACAACCCGTAGCAAGTGAGGGAACTGGAGAAGGCCCTTCTGCTGTTCAGCCTGGGAGCTGTGGGGAGATCTGGGCAAGAACTGGACAGAAGATCCTGGAGGAGGAAAGCATCTGTTCAGAGGTCCAGTGCTGGCCCTTCAGGAATGTCTACTACCAAGATGCCAAGGGCCCCCGAGAGATTTGTAGCCACCTCCACCAGCTTTGCCTTCAATGGCTGCAGCCAGAAAGACACACAAAGACACAGATGCTAGACCTGGTGACCCTCGAGCTGTTCCTGGCCTTCCTGCCTATGGAAGTGGAGCACTGGGTGCGGGAGTGTGGAGCGGAGACCAGCTCCCAGGCGGTAGCCCTGGCGGAAGGCTTCTTCCTGAGCCAGGCAGAGGAGCAGAAGGAGCAGGTGAGAGAACTCCATCATGAAAGAGATTTTTAAATTAAAAAAAAAAAAATTGGATTTTTTGTGCACTTCCTTTCTGGAACGTTACAGCATCAATAATAGAAAGAGATGATTAATTAACTCTTTAGGTAAATGGTTCCATTGCTCTTTCCAGAGAATGTATTTGAGGCAGGTATTCTGTGGTTCCCTCCCATTCCCGCTGGTGGACCTAAGGTGGTGCCAAACGTAGGGCAGCGTGCTTCTTATATCCTGCTTCTTAACCTATTTGCTCCTTGTCATGTCCAGGTGAGCTTCTTGACGGCAATTGCTGAATATCCCAAGGGAAGGAGGAATCTAGCTAAGGAAGAGCCGGGTCAGGACATCTCAGCAGGTATGAGAAGATCTTTTCAAGCAGTATGAAGTTCCACAAAGATGTCTGCTTGCATTCTTTGCATCTTTGTGTGTACAGTAGTTCCCTTTTATTAATCATGAAAATCATGTTTTCACCACTGTTTCTCTCCCAGGGGATAGGACAACATCATTGGCACTTGTAGGACCATCTCCTTTTTCTGGTGGAGCTGAACGAGTGGCTGAACCCTCAGCTCAGGTAGGAAGAGAAATATCAGAGAAGATGCGAGGACCATATGGAGGCCTCCAGTTACGTCTTGGGGTTCAATGTAGAATCTTTTTGTAAATGAAAAGGGGAATTGGGGGCTCACAGTTGGGGACTCACTGATGAGTCACATTCAGCGTACTTCTGGAATATATGATGGAGTAAAACATCTACACTGAGAAATTCTTTCTTCTCATGCATAAGGTAGTTTACAATACCTAGTTTAAATCACTCTTTCCAGATAAGAGTAAAACTAGCAAATACACAGCAAGACTTTAAAAAAATGGAGCCACCCTTCTGTTTATTCACTTCAAAGATAACATTTGCATCTTTCCAAATAACTTGCATTGTGCAGATTGGCTCAATCACATGGGCTGATTATAGTAGATGCCCATATTGTCTATTGCTAGCATAGGGGGAGCAGCTGGCACTTTAAAGAACAAGCCAGCCTTATGGGCCCAGAGGTAGTCCTCACTCCCGAGAGCCAATAAAGGACGAGAAAGGGGTTCCATCAGGTTTTGAGTAGAAAGAGTTTTGGGAGTCTTTTGGGTGTTGGATGGAGCCCTGGAGGAGGGGGTGACCCCCAACAAGGCTGGAAATTGAATTGTTTGGCTGTAGTTAGAATTGCATTACAGTTTTTTATATTTTATCTCTTTGTAACTGCTCTGTGTGTGTGTGTGTGTGTGTGTGTGTGTGTAACCTTCTTTTCTTTTGGCATCTTCAGTAAAGTTGCTTTTGTTTTAAATTATGGAATTGAGTGGTGGCCTTCTAGACTCCGCCTCTGCTAGATGGAGGTCCTGACTCCCAAAGTTTTGCTGGGGTTCCCTTCAGTCTTGACCTAGAACTGGGTGGGGTGAGGATGTCCCCTTCAATCCTCTCCTGGTTCTCCAGAGGGCTGGTGGGGAAGTGGTTGGTAACGAAGAGGTGTGGCTGCAAGGAGACCTAACTGGCCCCTTTTCACCCTCAGTCGTGGTTATCTCAGAACTGAAGGACCTCTGAGAAGGAGCTGGTTCGACCCTGAGGGCACCTTTCCCTTCTTACACACCCATATTATCTTTTGCTGGTCTCTGGTCCTGGGATTTGTGTTTGAAGGGAGAAAGCATCTTTTGTGACCTCTCTGTTAATAGGGAATCCACTTTTCCATTTTCCAGGGTGTTGTGTGCTTTGAGGAGGTGGCGGTATATTTCTCCAAGGAGGAGTGGTCTCAGTTGGACCCCTACCAAAAAGCCCTGCATATGGAAGTCATGCTGGAGAATGCTGGAAATGTGGCCTTTTTGGGTAAGGGCCCTTCCTTGGCTCTCAGATGCTTGTGCTCAAATGTAAACAGCTATTTTTTGTGAAGAGATACCAGACTTTCTCTTCTGACTGGATGAAGGAGAGGACCTGGTCTTCTCCTGCTTGAAGTAAGGCTTGCCCCATGAACCATTGGTGTTTTCCCAGTGCAGCTGTCTCATTCCTGGCCCTCCTCCTTTTTCATTGATGTGTTCCTTTGTAATTCTCATATTTCTGGGCCAAACGTTGCAGCTTTTCTCTGTGCAAATGTGTGATTAAAGGTTAATAGATGAATTCTGGATTTATTTCTCTGCAGCAATGTGGTTGTGTAAGAGGAGAATGAATAGGAAATGGCAGATAGTCCAGGGGAGTAAGGAAAGATAAGTAGGAAACAAGATTTTGTTAGCTCTGCTTTCCACTTGAAATGTCCCTCTGGGAAGCCCTGAAATAAATTTTCCCTTCCTTCCTTCCTTCTTCAGTCTGACCTCTGCTGAGATTTGGTTCAAGGGCATCATAACAATTTGTAGAGAGAACAGTAAGAACAACCAGAGGTGCCTTGTTTTTTTTTTTAACAGAAATTGATGGTTGAAGGTTTTCTATTATTTCTAAAATAGAAATCTTCCATTTGTACACAATCTGAATAATTTTATACATATGAACTTGTCATTATCCCATCAATAGTCTAACATTAATAAACATTGGATCAGATGTTTTGTTTTGGCGAGCAGAAGAGCATTTAGGAATACTGGAGAAACGTTGGAAGAATGTTGTCGATAAATTCACTGTCACATCCTACCTTTTTAAAAAATAATTCTTACTGAAAGTTTTAAAAATAATAAAAGATAATACAAACCAAATTAAAAAAAGAGAAAATGAAAAGAAAAATAATAGAAAATACAAGGAAAGAAAGAGAAAAAGAGATTAAAGAAAAAAGAAAAGAGAAATAGTTAAAGAGGTGACTTCTGATCTTCATCACAAGTACAGGCAAACTTAATATTTCTTCCCCCCTTATAAGGTTACATCCATATATATCCAGCATCTCTCGCGCACTTTGTGCATCCTCCCCAACATGATGCCTCTTGCGCACCCTCCCCCACTTGCATGGTGCTTTGTGCACCCCCTCTTACCCTCATGCACCCTTCCCGACCCTCCCTGAACCCCCCTGCACCCCCTCACTCCTTCCCCCACCCCCCCCC